TGAACAAGAACTACAGCTATAAATAAATTAAACTAAAGTAAACTAAACTAAAAATGTAGAAGGAAACATTCACACGTTGCACGATGCTGCAAATACTTTTATGCGTTTGCACGACTCTATTGGCAGAGCTATCGCCACGGTACGAGGACGTAGACTTTTACTGACGTCGGTGCACTGACCCCTGTTCCGTGAATTTTCTTCGTGTCTTCTGAACACCTTCCGAGAACTCACTTTATCTAGCTAACTCGATCTTCTAGAATCTAGTTTTCAGATGCGAGTAGCCCAAACGTTGAAATATACGATTTCTTGTGGCTGAGACCAAGAAGGTCTCTCTCGGCAGTTCGTCGGGAACGCGTATACATTTATGTTCGTCCATCGGGCGGCTATTTTTGACAATTGGCCCAATAGCATAGCGTAAACAATGTTGCGTGCGGCAGCTTCAAGGTTGAAAATAATGTGTCGCGTGTTTATTATTCGGTAACACTTGTTCGAAATTCTTATTGTATCGAGTAACGTACAAATAATAAAAAGTCGTTGTTATTTAATTTCTGTGTAGAAAGATTTTGTATCTAACTTTATAAAAATTGGAATCAACAATTTCCATATTAAAAAGATAGTTATTTGAACAGTTGTTGTTAGACTCTTGTTGATAAAGATTTTATTAAAAGCTTCTTAAAAATTGGAGGAGTTATTATTATTATATTTATATTATATATTATATATATTATTATTGTATATATATTTATATTTATTATAAATTTGTATTATTTTTATTTAATTTCTGTCGACAAAGATCGTGATAGTAACTTTCTAAAAATTGAACTTAACAAATTTTAACTTTTTTAAGAGGAAAGAATTATTTTCTTTTCTTGCAAAGAAAATAACAAAGGTCACTTTTGCGATCTATGCTTGCAACGAAGATCCAAAGGAAATGCACATGCATACGTAACTTCCTTTTTCTTTTCTACAACTTTAAAAATACTGTATAGTTGCCATAGGAGCCCTCCATTTGCCGAAAAGAGAATTTATTGTCAAACGTGCAATATGTGTATTGTAATTTGAAGCATAATATATCAGAATAACTATAAAACGTTCCTTAATACTTAATGTTAGACTTAAGAAACGTTTTATATTTTATATACATTTAAAAGCAAAAATTGTACATAATGGTCGCAGTTATCAAGCACTGGGACGTTTGAATATACTTTTATACTTTAATACTTAACCCTTTGCACTTGAAGCTATTTCAACTGCGGATCTATAATAATTTTTCTGACTTATAGTATCTTCATTTTATATGACAAAATGTATTTTATGCATATGAAGTTGAGTTTTGTGACAATTTTTTAAATCTAAGCTTTGTTAATATAAAACAAATATAACAAATTTTAATGGTGCCTCAGGGTCACCACCCGAGTGCAAAGGGTTAATATTAGACTTAATATTTAATACAGTATACACGTAATACCGTGCATACGTAGATTTCCATGTTATTCTGCCTTGTTGCAAGACTTTTAGTGTAGCAAAATCGTGTAATTGAAGTGAAGGCATTTTATAGTCGTCGAAATTAAGTTTTTATTTTCACTTTTCAAAAGAATGATGGAAAATTTCGATAGAACGTCGAGGAACGCTGAAATTGCTGCAATCATTTCGAGCAGAAATCTGTCTAATATTGAAAAATGAGTTGGACAAAATGATCACCATTTTCCTAATTCTGATCTGTAACGGCGAAGGTGACCGTAACATTGAACTGTAAAGTGACGATGGCCTTGGTTTTCATATCGATCATCGTCTGCAAGTTACTTAAAGCGAAAATAGCCTTTGATACCGTGACTACGGTAATCTCAACTTCGTGCGCGTTTTCTACTTGGCAGAACTTTCCTGTGGCAATCATATCGTAGCAACAAGGTCAGTGCTCTGCTCTGATTCGCATTACGTGGCCGAGAGTCTCTCTCTGCTCTTGGCCTAATGCAGCTTGTGCAGCTCATGCTTCTCTACGAGGAGGGCAGCACTGAATTAACGCTTTACCCACCGGAGATCGTTGAAAGTTCAACATTATATAAATAGAAAAAAATTGGAGATCTGAGGATTTTCTAATAGACAGAGAATATAGTATAATAATTGAAAAATCTATCATCAATATGATAGATCTATTGTAATATAATAAATATAATAATAAATATCTATCATATTGATGATAGATTTTTCAATTATTAATGATCTATCTATTGTAATATAATAAATATAGTAATAAATGTCTATCATATTGATGATAGATTTTTCAATTATTAATGATCTATCTATTGTAATATAATAAATATAATAATAAATATCTATCATATTGATGATAGATTTTTTAATTATTATACTATATTCGAAAGAAGCTCTAATATTATAATTTCTTTTTAAATAACGATCTCCGAGAAGAAACGATTGTAAGTAAACAATTATCATCGGATCGCAGAACTTTATGCATTTGCCGCATATTTTTTGTTATATAAGAATATATGTTTGCGAGTATAAATTGCTAATACTAACATTTCTGCTCTAAAAAATTCGTTAGATCAATGAAAGAAATTTGTAATCTTTTTAACCCTTTTTAATCTTACTTTAGAATTTGTATAAAGATTGTTAGAAAATCTGTGTCTAGGTATTGCTTCAAATTTCGAAGAAGCTCTTAATCTTTAAACTTTACCGTAAATAGATTCATTTGAAATGTTAATTATTTGCCGCGTAGGTAAAGAGTCAAAACAAAGCGATTAAATTAATTTCTGTGCCGCTAAACAGTTTATTAATTAGATTCCGGTAACTGAACCATTAAGTGTTACATAATTTTCTCAATGCAGATGAAAGTCATGCTACTTCGAACCACTTTTTCTTCTATGATACTGATTTGTGTCGCGATCTATAATTTTTCCAGCGTTCTAAATAACAACATTGAACCATTATGTTGAAAAAAATAAACCGTTAACCCGACTTCGACAATAGCTGCAAATTAATTTGCTAGTTTCTCTCTTCCTCGATTATCCTAATAACACGCTATCCGCTAATCAGAAATAAACCGTTGTAAATTATCAACTGATGAAAGTTTTTTTACAATGTTTTCTAAGATAAATGTTAATTGCGTCCTGGCCATTAACTGTGCCATCTAACTACGATTTCATTTAGCGAAAAGTAATCACAGTCAGATACGAGTTTTTTTTACATCGCGTTATCTGCAGTAATTTGCATGAATCGGTGCTTCATGTTTAATCGAATAAATTTTGCTATACTTGGAAATATGTTGTTCTTTCGAAGTCCATATTTCCTAGTCGAGTTTCCTTCCTCGTAGATCAATTATGAATGAATGAATTAATGAATTCTCGAGTAGGAACACTAGTTTATCGTGCTGCCTTCTTGATCAGATTCTTCCCTTTTGATCATAAAATAGTGTTTTCCTTACAGACTGCAGTAATGTCTCCCTAACTGACGCTCGGATTGTGCAGAAAAATGGACAATTTGGGAAGAGGAGATACGATTATTCGAGCCTTGTAGCTCGTGTTCTTTATAATTGTTGACAATTCGTAACTATAAAATAATATAAATAAAAAATAATAAATAAATAATAAATAATTAATAAATAATAAATAATAATTAATAAATAATAAATAAATAATAATTAATAAATAAATAAATAACTATAAAAACGAACCGCCAGGTTCGAATAATCATATCACATCTTCCCAAATTGTCCATTTTTTTAAATATAATCTGAGCGTCAATTAGAGAGACATTACTGTAGATCGAATTCGACAGGACAACGAGTTCAATTGGAACGAAAGTGTAGGTGTCAATGATAGGCAGTTTCGCGACGAAAATGACTATATAATGTCATAGTTTGAGAACGAGATAGCATTCCGCGGCATGGCGGAACGGACATGTTCGAGGGAAACATTCTAATCGCTTATTTTGCAATCTCACGATGCCCGAAGAAACTTAATTATCATTTATTTCCTTGTGCCGAAATAAAAAAAAACTCGTTAGGGGCACGGTCCGGAACAGGTCTGCCGGCAAAAAAGATTGTTTAATCCTACCTTTTTCGACAGCGTCCGCCGAGTACCGCGGCCATTTTGTAGAAAAATGCTCGCGACTTCAATGTTCTTTTTTTTAACGCTGGGTTTACGGGACACGCGGACGATTTGACTGTCACGCCATCATCTTAAAAATTATTTTATAAAGTATTTTATAAATTATTTACGAATTATTTTACTTAGTTCAATTACGATTGAAAAGTTCGGTTACGTTACGAAAACGTTAATTACGTTAATTACATTGTTCAACTTTCTTACGTTTCGCGGATCCTAATAAGATCAGTGTGACCGAATAGATTGGCGTAGAAATTAATTTTCAAATCCGAGGAAATAATTCTGTCATCCGCGTATTCGTGACACGGCAGTCAAAGCATTAAAATGGCGGTTTTCATGTTTTCCTAATTTACGATTATTGAGATTGTAAACGTATATTTATGGAGAATTAATAGTTCATTAATTTTGTTTTTTCTTGGGTATATATTATAATGAAATAGTTGTACACTTTTATCAAGTAATAGAACAAAGTTGTTTTTAATGCAGTATTCCATAAATCTAATGATAATGAATTTCTGGAATAGGCAATATATAATTGCAATATAAAATTGCATCATTATTTCATTACTTTTCATATATTTTGCATATGTCGTTTATAATATAATATTAATAATATATTAATATAATATTTTAATAGTATATTTTCATCTGTTGTTTGTTGTAATTTGCATTGCAATATCTAACTATGATTTTTTACGTATTGACAACGATAAGTTGATATCTTTTCCGATTATCTTTCGCTGATAATTAGTTCGTGTACCGAAAATGTTGCTTAAACATCGCAGTACGTAATTGATGCATACGCGTATTTTTTTCTAATATTGTGCATCAATCTTTCCTGGCCTTTCAGTAGCGAATGCATTTATTAGAGTTCTGTTAAGTTTTTTCATAAATGATCAAATTCGAACGTTTATTTAAATAAAAAATACATTTGGTTTGTATAGCGACTTGACCTTGAAGTGACCTTTGATTTCAAACATGAAAGCGTGACGTGAAGACGTGAAATAATTGCCCGTCGGTATCTCTCTAAAGACGAGTGCAATAAACAATATGTGTATTGATGAGTCGTCGGTGAATAAATACATGATCAATTGCGGACTTGCGATACATCATGCCGAAGTTTTTGTCCAGTGATCGCTGGTAAACTGCGGATTTGTTGCATTACTTATGTGTAGTCCTGTAATTGTGATAATTATCGTCTTCGGGAAGATGCGCGCACGTGTTGTTAATTAAATTCTGCACAGTGAGATGACCTTTCTGTACATTCGTAGAAAAGATGAGATTATTTCGTTAAAGAATCGAACTTTTGTTATTCTTTCTTCGTTATTAAAAATTTCCATTTCCAGATGATCATTATTGTTTTTAACACTTTGTTTACCGCAAGTTTGTTAATCGGTTGTTTCGATGACTAAACTGTATCTAAATGAAGCACGATAATTTTCTTTTAAACAACAATCTCAAAAAATAGTAGTTGCGTTATTCTAATGTAAGCATTATTATTGTTTATTCGATTGCGGATGAAATTTCTGTTGTTTCCGAACTAATTTTCAAATTGCAATTTTCAATTTTCAAAGAACGTGGAAAAAGTGTTAACATCAGAACCATCAAAGCAGTCAAAATGGCTGCTTTCTGATTTTTTCTATTGTCATTCCTGCTATTATATAAATATTTTTATTATATAATAACAAATTTTTAGATAAATCTCTTCATTCAAGCGTATATTATAATAAAAATCGTACAAAGTTTAAATACACTTTATATTGCATATCGTGAAGGGGGGCATGTAATATTCTAATCGGTTTTATGTTATTTTGCTTTCCTACCGAGACACGAATTTAATTTATTTCACTGTCCATTTAATTTATTAAGTGGTATAGTTAATATTTCTTACCAAACTCGTATAAACCGTTGAATTCTACATAGAACGAGTATTACACACCAAATGGGGTCTAAAATACATAGTTACTGAAATATCAGCTAATGTAAATTACGCTGCTGTATTAGAAAAGATCGTTAATCAACGTGACTGTTGACACAATATAGTCGGACAACCTTATTTACGAGCGGCCGACCAGTACTGGTAAATACAGTCCTAGACACATACATAAGTAACAAGGTATGCAGCAACGTATTGGTCGTGCATGTTCTCTGCGATAACAGCAGAAACCCTTGAAAATATTTCTCGCGCTCTAATAATAAAAATACGTAATTATATTGATTGTAACAGTTATATTGATTATAGCACCTCGAACAACGCTTAAAATAAGACTTACTTTGCTATATACTGTTATATACTTAGCTGTCAATATGCTATCAATTTGCTATCGATATAATAATCAATATAACTACATATTTTTATTATTAATAATAAATGTACGTAATTATATTGATTGGAGCAGTTCGAACAACGCTTAAAATAAGACTTACTTTGCTATATAATGCTATATACTTTGCTATCAATATGCTATCAATTTGCTATCAATATAATAATATAACTACATATTTTTATTATTAATTATTATTATTAATAATAAAAATACGTAATTATATTGATTGTAACGGTTATATTGATTATAGCACTTCGAACAACGCTTAAAATAAGACTTACTTTGCTATATAATGCTATATACTTTGCTATCAATATGCTATCAATTTGCCATCAATATAATAATCAATACAATCACATATTTTTATTATTATATATCGAAATGTAGACCAAACCTATGAAAAAAATTAAGCTTTGATCTTCAATTATTGATAGCTAAGAGACACGTCTTTTTCAAGCCAGCGCCAGAAGTATTGTGATTCAATGAGACTGACTGCGCGAGCAACAAATCATTTGAACCGAGCAAATTATTTTAAAAGGAAGCTATTCAAATGAAATCGCGACTCATTCGGTGGTTAATACGTTCTTGAAACTGTCTCATTCTTTTCCGAGTAATCGCACATGGAGACACCATTCACGAGACACGTGCGCTTATGAATCATCGTGTATGAAAAATATTTTTAATCTGCTGCAACCGTGATTTGCTTTATTTGGCTGGCGCGAATACAAACGCAAAGATCACGTCAGCTTCCACGATTTTTGTCAGTTGTAATTATTAACACACAGTATCGTAATTTGTTCTTTTCAATGTGCTTCAAACGATTACATACATTTAACCGACTTCGGAGAATCTAAATAACCCGACACGGATGTATGCATTATCGTGGCATATGTAGATAAGCGACAATTAGATGGGTGTGCCGTAAGACAAGTGCACGTTTCATTTCGTTGACACAGCGTGCTTAATTAGTTTCGTTTTTATGTAGAAATTTTTCGTCGGATTGATAATATCTTCACTGGACTGCGTTATTTTATGTACTTATAAAAAGTTCGCGAATGTTTACCGGTCCGAAAATAATTAAACTAATAAATATCAATGATGCGTTTATTTTATCCTTGTTAGTTAGCTTAATTTATCTAAGAATGCTAGAGAAAGTATTAACATCAGAACCACCAAAGCTGTCAAAATGGCTGATTTCTGATTCTTTT